CCACCAGTGAGGAGAACCCTATTAGTCCTCTTTGGCTCTTGCTGATTTGGTTTCATACACCTGCGTGCATCACCAGAGCCAGGTGAGACAGGGAGCTCGCTGCAGTCCCAGGGGTATTATCTAATGAAGGGAAGATGTGACCTGCTCCTAGTGAATCCAGACACTTGTATAATATGCATGATGCCCTGTGGGGCCCCTCCATAGTACAAAGTACCCGGAGGTGCTGAACCATGCATGGCCTTGCCCATAAACAGACAGAGGAGAATTTGCTCAGTCAATAGAGCCAGCTGGGAAAATTGATGCTGGCATAAATAATACATGGCAAATCTAGTCTTCATGCAGAAATTCATTGCCGGTGGCTCCAAGATGCAATATAATTACCCTTCTCTTCCAGCCAGCTGTACCAGGGCGTAGTGCCCTAGTGTTTGAAATAACCCCCCACCCCCTGTCTGTTACCTGCGCGGTAGCCATCCGTCTGAGAGCTGTCACCCTGGCTGCAAGGAGAGGAGGACAGCGGGGACGGGAAAACAACAGGCAAAGTAGAGAAATGATCAGGTTGTTTACTGAACACATTTTTTAAAAGGAAGGTTGCCTTTCTCAGAGAGCCTGTTGTGTAATTAATTAGTTGTGTCTTGGCTGCAGGAAAAGCGGTGTCAGAATTATAGACCGATGATATGACATGTAGAGATGATAAACGCAGCAGGGATAGAAGCAAGAAGCACGGCGCGTTGGGAATGCATGGGGCACTGGCTCGAGGGTATGTACCCAGGTGAGGACAGGGTTGGTGAGCCTAACTGAGGGAACCCTGGTGCTGCTGCTCTCACAGAATACCACGGGAGGAATTAACCTTCAGTGTCCTTTTTAAAAAATATATATTTTTACTGACTTCAGAGGGAAGGGATAGGGAAAGATAGAAACATTAATGATGAGAGAGAAGCATTGATCGGCTGCCTCCTGCACGTCCCCTACTGGGGATCAAGCCCGCAACCCGGGTATGTACCCTTGACCGGAATCGAACCGGGACCCTTCAGTCTGAAGGTCGATGCTCTATCCACGGAGCCAAACCAGCTAGGGCTTTTCAGTATCCTTATCCTGTGAGCGGTTGGCACATTTCTGCAGCCGTGGTAGGAAACAGAACTTTAAGCCGAAAAATCCCTGCCACACTTACCATTTGGGCATCCTGAGCCCACGCAGACATCACCAACCAATCAAGCATTCTTTTTTGCGGAGCTCACAGTATTTTGCAGTTCTTCTCCACATAGTGCTCCAGGTAACCACAGCCAATCAGTTGGACTTGGCATTCAGCGTGGAACCTGGTTGCCATCTCTGCCCTGGGGAGATCTGCCATGTTCCCAGGTGCTTAGCCCCTGACTGAGGACCCTAGAATAATGTGGTTTGAGAGGCCTGTAAAGATCACCTGTCCCATCCTGTGACTTAACAGAGAAGGAAACTGAGCCCCAAGGAAGAGTAGGGCAGTCCCAGTGTAGAGCAGGGCTGGACCCCAGAACTCCTGATTTCTAGGCCAGGACTCTGTCTGTCTCCACATTGCCTTTGCTTTCCAAACCGCACAGTTCTATTCCCACTGGGGCACTTACTCCAGCTGAAGGCGCCACAGCCCTCAAGCCCAGGTGGCATCTCTAGCCATGGGAAGGCGCCCCATTCACTGCTGTGCCAGGCCACCCTGTGGACTTCGGGCAGGACCCGGCCCCTCGTACTTGCTTCCTCCTTGGCCTTGCTCTTAGACCAGGGCTTCCTTGCCCCACGTGCTGCCACTGCACACTCTGCTCCGGGCACATGGACAGTCCCAAGCATGCCTCAGGCCAGGCTGGCTCTTCTCCCTGCTTATGTGCTGCCTCTGCCCACCCCCACACCCCCCCCACTGTGGCTGGTGCATCCACACTGACATCTTCCCTTTCTTATGCCTCCATGGTGGTCCAGAATGACATTTCTCATAACTCCCCTGTACCGTTCTCTCATACTTTCTGTTCATTTATTTGTCCATGAGCTCAAGATCCACTTTAAGGGGATTTTGTTTTTGCTCACCCGGCTGGTGTGGCTCAGTGGTGAGTGTCAACCTATGAATCAGGAGATCACAGTTTGATTCCTGGTCAGGGCACATGTCTGGGCAGTGTGGGAAGTGCAGGAGGCAGCCGATCAATGATTATCTCTTATCATTGATGTTTCTATCTCTCCCTCTCCCTTCCTCTCTTTTTTTTTTAAAGAGTCTTTTTCATTTTGCAGTATAGACTGATAGCAGTATAGACTACTTATTCCAACCTCTTTTCAGCTTAGCTCACCTTAAAAAGCTGGACTAGAGATCTACTTTATCAGCTCTTTCTGATTTTCCATAATGGAAGTTGTGAAAGAATGACAAACACTCAGAGAAGGGAAATATCATTGGTATTAAAGTCAACTGGAGCCTTAGGGGGAAATATAATTGAATAAAAGCAATAGGGTCTAATGTCCTTGAGTTATGAGCCAGGAGGAGATAAGGGATTTAGATACATATCCACTAGGTTTTCCTGTGTTTTGTCATGGAGTTGTACTGGATAGAGTTAAAACTGTCCAAATCTGTGTGCTGGGGATGAATATAGGAGAAGGCTGTGTGGTGCATGGAGCTTACAATAGAGCTAGGTAAGTATTCATCAAACACCACTCTCAAAAAAGTGCTTTCCCTGATTTTTTTTTCTTGTCCTATTGCATTGGCTAGACTAACTTCCAGTACTAAGTTGAATAGAAGCAACAATAGCCATTGTCCCTGTTCCTGACATGAGGGGGCTGTTTCCAGTATTTTATCACTAAGTAAGATGTTGTAGGTTCCTCATTTAATCAAGGTAAAGATCTCATTGCATTTCCTGTTTGTCCTGAAGAAGGGAGGTCAGGTTCTGACCATTATTTGTCATGTATAGAGTTCTCTCTCCCAGCCAATGGAAGGTCCATGTATCCTGAAGCTGTACAGCTGCACTTTAGCTGCTGCACAAGTTTGATTCCTTGAGTAGCCTTTGAGTCCTACCTTTCCCCTGACTCTCTGTAATCTCTGGGTGTAAGAGCCTCAATTTAAGCTTAGGTTTTGCCAGAAGACAATAGGTCTGTACTGAAAAGCTATAAAGGGACAAGATTTTTTTACGTCTCAAATAACTTGGGTCTTAACTCTGACACTCACTTGCTGTATCTCATTGGATGATTTAGCCTCTTAAAGCCTTCGCTTTTTTTTTTTAATAGAGAGAGGAAGATGGGGGGAGGGAGAGAGAGAGAGGAGATTGATTTGTTGTTTCACTATTTGTGCATTCATTGGTTGATTCTTGTATGTGCCCTGACCAGGAATTGAACCTGCAACCTTGATATATCTGGACGATGCTCTAATCAACTGAACTACCTGGCTAGGGCCTCTTTAAGACCTCGTTTCATCGTCTGTGAAATGGAGAAAATAAAAGCTGCTACATAGACTTGCTTTAGGGTCATATAGCTTAGGAAAGCACTGAATGTTTTTCCAGCATAAAATAAGCACTCATATCATTGAGACTTATGATGCCTGGGAGATACTAGTGACAGCTACCTTCCGTCCAGGCAAGGCCAGCTTCATGGTAGTGTGACCAATGCAGTTGCACAGTCCTGTGCTTAGATTAATGCTCTGCCATTGCCATCCCGAAGTTCTTAATACTTTTTGAACAAGGGTCCAACATTTTGCACTGTGCCCCGCAAAGCATGTGGCCAGGCCCGTCTCCAAGAATGAATAGAACTCTTGTACTTTTCTTCTCTTTGGGAAATACCCCCAGCACTGATTTTGTTGTTGTTGTTGTTGTTAATCCTCACCCGAGGATATTTTTCCATTGATTTTTTTTTTTTTTTAAGAAAGAATGGAAGAGAAAGGGAAAGATGTAGAGAAACACATCAATTGGTTGCCTCTTGCACGAACCCTGACCAGGGCCTGGGCCCGGGAAGGAGTCTGCAACCAAGGTACATGCCCTTGAAGGGGAATCGAACCCGGGACCCTTTGATTCTCAGGCCAACGCTCTATCCACTGAGCCAAACTGCTTAGGGCCCCTCCACTGATTTCTCAGGGAATAACTTCCCCCAGAGAGTAACCTCTCATAGAAAAACTGGGGTTAGCATCCTGTGTCTCTTTGCTTCTAACTGTTCCATTCTGGGGAAACCTTTGCAGTCTCTCTCAGAAAGGAATTTTATATTGTACAGACATTATTTTATTTAGGCTTTTGGAATCAAGATCTAGGTTCAAAACCCTGCTGGGCCCTTTATCGCTGAGTTACTTAAACAAGGTAATGTCTCCGTCTTAGTGGTAAAATCTATATCTCAGGCAAATTAAACAGATAATCGCTGTGAAGTGCCCTTCACAGGCACATAGTAGGTGCTTAGTCACCATGAATTCTTCTGGCTCTTGCCAGAACAAACAAAAATTAGGGCACTAGGACTTATAAGCTATGCTGCTGCTAATAAAATAAATAATATGATTTATTATTTCACTACTGTTTGGGGAAAGGCATGGGCTTCATAAATATGTATTGGGAAGTACTTAGCAAATGAGTAGAAATAATAAAAATATGGCAAAGTAAATAGCTCCTATAAATATGTC